GGTGTCAGTGGGTGACAGCACCCCATACGGTCCCCAGTTGCACCCCGGGGTGCCATGTCCCACCTCTGCCAGCCATAAACTCCTCCAGGTACCGGGCCCATGTCCCCGGGTGAGGGTGAAGCTTGTTCATCAGGTCAAAGTGGTAGAAGGAGACGGCCACGTCCTTGGCATTGCGCCCCACATAGATCATCTGCAGGGAGCACGGTGACACCTGGGGACTTGCAAGGTCCTGGCAGGGGCAGATCACCCCTCTATCTCCACTGGGTCCCGGCAGGTACGTCCCCTCCTGCCCATTACCTTGCAGCAGTTTTCCCAGAGGGATTTGGGCAAGATGTGAGCGGGGATGTGGGTCTTGATGATGCGAGGGGATGTCATGGCCTCCAGCTGCTCCGTGCCTGCAAAGGACGTTCTCTCCAGGAGCATTCCCACTGACAATGGGGTGCCCACCACCCCAAAACCAAAACCTGCCCCCCATCTGACCCCCACTGCCTCTGTTACCTGATGGCATCTGCCCAGGGGCGGCGAACTCCAGCATGGGCACTCGGTTGACTATGGCGTCCTGCTTGCATTTTTCGGGGTCACCGGCTTTCAGGATCATGTCCACGATCTCACTGACCCAGGTGGTGCCTGGTGAGGAGAGCTTTAGTGTCTGGAGGGTGCTGTTCCCACTGGACTCTCATCATGGCCCCCACATCCCAGATTGGGGCCACTCACCGGATTTGGGGAAGGTGACCACCACGATGTCCTCGGGGCGACTCTGGAAGGCGTCCACCCGCTCCCAGCCATGGGCGAAGGCGCAGACCATGGGGACACCGTGCACCGTGCTCCAGGGCTGCCGCAGGTAGGTGTCCGAATCTGCCATCCTGATGGGGACAGGGGGACGTAGGGGTGCTGGTGAGCGTCACCGAGCCACGTCATCCCCTGGGGTGTCCCCAAAACCCCTGCTGAGCCCCCCCATCCTGGCCATGGGAAGGAAAGCACTCCCTGTTTGTTCATGCCCCGGGAGCTGGCACCTATCTCCTGTGGGGATTTTGGGGGCTGGCACAGAGGGGCCAGGAAAGGGAGCACCTTGTGCCTCACCTGAGCTCCGTTTCGGGGTGGCAGGGAGGAAGTGTTGAGGATGGGCTCCTTGGCCAAGGGCAGGTCCCTGCGGGAGCGCTGTGAGTCATAAAACAACAAAATCAAACAGGGTGAGCCTTGACCCAGGAGGGCCGGGGTGCCCCTGGCCGGGGGCCGCCCCTGTCCCCCTCCTAGAGTTTTTGGACTCTGGCAGGGGCACCCAGCGTGTCCCAGCTTTGCTCTCCCTCATTCCTCCCCCAGTTTTCTATCACACAGCAGCACAAGGAAGCCTTGTTCGGGCTTCTCCGAGCTCCCCCGCGTCCCCCTACAGCTTTTGGGCACCCCAAAACAGGCCGACCCCCCAGACCCGGGGATCTCCC